CCACGGATTTGGATGCGGCAGGGGACCACCTACTTGAAGCCCCATTGCTCCAACTAAACACGCAGGCAGCCGAGCCACCGGCACCCGATAAGGACGCCAGCGTGGTGGTTGGCGTGCGCGCTGACGACGCGCATACAAAGCGTGTTAGGGAGTTGTCCGTCGATAAAGCGTTAGCGAGGTTCACAGGGGATAGCGTGTCGCCCCAGTTCAGGGCATTGTTTTTGAACCACATGGCCCACGCAGGAGTGGTCAATCCCAATGATGGAGACATTGTGACAGCACTCGAGAAGTGCTGCGAAAGCAATGTGCACGATGTGCAGGGCATAGCGCGAAAGTTTCTAGCAGATTTGGGCCAGGCACCAAAGGCAGGGTCAACAGACTCGTTTGGAATGCCGCCCCTCATCATAGGGGACCGCAGCGAAGACGGAGTTGCTGCAGTCCAGCTTTATTTTGAGAGCTTTAAATGCGTCGAAGTTGGGGATAAGTTGGAGACAACCTTCCCAGCAAAGGGCACAGTGGGAAACCAGTGTGTTCTTTTGTCTTTAGCACATGTGTTGCAGGTAGATGCCTCCGAACTCCATGAACATGTCAACCGGCAGGCGAGAGATTGCCAAAGCGCACTAAGTAAACGGCAGCAACTCTCGGTCGAGGAGTGTATATTACTGGAGATGAGCCACGACCTCGTGGCTGGGCATGCCAATGATGCCAACTTTGTCCAGTACTTCCAGGTTGAGGGGCTGGAGGACCGCGCGATAGTGTTGGTCATGTCAGCCAGGTTGCCAGTGGAGCTGAACATAATCCATGTCGGCAATGTGACTGACGAGTCGCAGGTGCACTATCTGCTCCTGGACCAAGGCCACTGCAGGCCGATGTACCCCGACAGTCCGCGGCACGCGACCTTGGCCGGGGTTCACGAGTGGCTCGATAGCCAGAATTGCGAGGCAGTCAAACTGTATTCGACACCATGGGAGGACGTGTTGGATGAAGAGAATGGCAGTGAAAGGTTTCTGGACAAGAAAGAATTGTCGCTATGCGACCAATGTAAGGGTTGCAACCAGCAGGCTGCGAGAGTGCGCCTTCCCCATGCCTGGCGAACAGGGAAATGTGGGATATGCAGTCCAGCGTCTCTCACTGACAGTTTTGAGTATGAGTGCAAACCTTGTCCCGAGGCTGCGTCTCTCACTGACAGTTTTGAGTATGAGTGCAAACCTTGTCCCAAGGCTGCTGGTGCCACCTGGCGGCCGCGTCCGATGGGCACGGCCGTGCCAGATGTCATCGAGGAGTGGTTGGCGAAGCCTGGTAGCGCATTGGAGTCGCAAGCGAGCAAACTCGATGTTTTTGATAAGTCCCGCCCGCCCGACCCTGATGGCTGGACCGACGACGCAATTAGCGTCGACGTGTTGGCTACTGCCCCATATGCTCCTGGGGCAGAGATTATACTCCTCAAAATTTCTGAGGCAGTGGGTCAAACGTGTCCGGCAGGTATCAAAACAGGCGAGGCAACGGCCGAGGCCATGGCTGCAATGCTGAACTCCCTAGAAGTGGCCGCCCGTTTAGGTACGGAGCTGGCCGTCCTCTGCGGTTCCTGGAAAAGCACCATCCAGAACTATAGAAAGTCCACTTGCAACG